GCAGCAGCGTTCTGTTCACACTACTCGACTGCGGTTTCGCTGAGTCTGCAACGGCAGAAGAGAGCGGAGCGGATGCTGTCAGACCTACTAAAGCCGCAAGAAATGGGGTGGATGGTGTTGCTATTGTTGCATCAATTACAGCTGCAAGTAAGAGAGGCTAGAACAGCGTTACTATCCAGCCTACTAAAGCCGAAAGGAATGGTGTGGGTGGTGTTGTCAATGTTGCATCAGTTGCAGTTGCAATTAGTAGAGTAGAGGCTACAGCAGCGTTCTGTTCACACTTCTCGACTGTGGTTTCACTGAGGCTGCAACGACAGAAGAGAACGATGCGGATGCTGTCGAACTTACTAAAGCCGCAAGAAATGGTGTGGATGGTGTTGCTATCCTTGCATCAACTGCAGTTTTGATAATTAGAGTGAAGGTTATAGCAGCGTTACTATCCAGCCTACTAAAGCCTCAAGGGTGTGGATTGTGTTGCTATTGTTGCATCAGTTGCAGTTGCAATTAGTAGAGTAGAGGCTACAGCAGCGTTCTGTTCACACTACTCGACTGTGGTTTCACTGAGGCTGCAGCGGCGGCAGAGAACGATGAGGATGCTGTCGAACTTACTAAAGCCGCAAAAAATAGTGTGGATGGTGTTGCTATCATTGCATCAACTGCAGTTTTGAGTATTAGAGAGGAGATTACAGCAGCGTTCTGTTCACACTACTCGACTGTGGTTTCGCTGATTCTGCAACGGCAGAATCGGACGGTGTTGTTGCTGTCGAACTTACTAAAGCCGCAAGAAATGATGTGGATGGTGTTGCTGTTGTTTCATCAATTGCAGTTGCAAGTAAGAGAGGCTAGAACAGAGTTACTATCCAGCCCACTAAAGCTGCAAGAAATAGTGTGGATGGTGTTGCTGTTGTTGCATCCATTACAGTTGCAAGTAATAATGGCTAGAACAGCGTTACTAACCAGCCTACTAAACTCTCAAGGGTGTGGATGGTGCTGCTGTTGTTGCATCAATTGCAGTTGCAAGTAATAGAGTAGAGGCTGCAGCAGCGTTCTGTTCACACTACTCGACTGTGGTTCCGCTGATTCTGCAACGGCAGAATCGGACGGTGTTGTTGCTGTCGAACTTACTAAAGCCGCAAGAAATGATGTGGATGGTGTTGCTGTTGTTTCATCAATTGCAGTTGCAAGTAAGAGAGGCTAGAACAGAGTTACTATCCAGCCCACTAAAGCTGCAAGAAATAGTGTGGATGGTGTTGCTGTTGTTGCATCCATTACAGTTGCAAGTAATAATGGCTAGAACAGCGTTACTAACCAGCCTACTAAACTCTCAAGGGTGTGGATGGTGCTGCTGTTGTTGCATCAATTGCAGTTGCAAGTAATAGAGTAGAGGCTGCAGCAGCGTTCTGTTCACACTACTCGACTGTGGTTCCGCTGATTCTGCAACGGCAGAATCGGACGGTGTTGTTGCTGTCGAACTTACTAAAGCCGCAAGAAATGATGTGGATGGTGTTGCGTTGTTGCATCAATTACAGTTGCAAGTAAGAGAGGCTAGAACAGAGTTACTATCCAGCCCACTAAAGCTGCAAGAAATGGTGTGGATGGTGTTGCTGTTGTTGCATCAATTACAGTTGCAGGTATTAGGTTATAGCAGCGTTACTATCCAGCCTACCAAAGCCGCAAGGGTGTGGATGGTGTTGCTGTTGTTGCATCAATTACAGTTGCAAGTGATAGAGTAGAGGCTACAGCAGCGTTCTGTTCACACTACTCGACTGTGGTTTCATCGAGGTTGCAATGGCAGAAGAGAATTGTTTTGATGCTGTCGAACCTACTAAGCCGCAAGAAATGGTGTGGATGGTATTGCTATCGTTGCTTCAATTTGCACTTGCAAGTGTTAGGTCAGAGCAGCGTTACTATCCTGCCTACTAAAGCCTCAAGGGTGTGTGGATGGTGTTGCTGTTGTTGCATCAATTGCAGTTGCAAGTAATAGAGGCTAGAATAGCGTTACTATCCAGCCTACTAAAGCCTCAAGGGTGTGAGTGGTGTTGTTAATGATGCGTCAGTTGCACTTGCAAGTAATAGAGTAGAGGCTACAGCAGCGTTCTGTTCACACTTCTCGACTGTGGTTTCACTGAGGCTGCAACGACAGAAGAGAACGATGCGGATGCTGTCGAACTTACTAAAGCCCAAGAAATGGTGTGGATGGTGTTGCTATTGTTACATCAACTGCAGCTGCAGGCAATAGAGGTACAACAGCGTTATTCACATTACTCATTTGTGGCTTCACTGACTACTGACTGCAGCGGCAGAAGAGAATGGTGCGGATGCTGTCAAACCTACTAAAGCCGCAAGAAATGGTATGGATGGTGTTGCTATTGTTACATCAATTGCAGCTGCAGGCAATAGAGGCTACAGCAGCGTTCTGTTCACGTCACTCATTTGTGGCTTCACTTATTGCTGACTGCAGGGGCAGAAGAGAATGGTCGAACCTACTAAAGCCGCAAGAAATGGTGTTGATGGTGGTGATGCTGCTGTCGATTCTGCTATAGTCGCAGCAAATGGTGTGGAAGAGATTCGGCATTCAAATCGAGCACAGTCGGACAATTGATGTAGAAGGTAATGCTGTTGTTGCATTATCTGCAATTCAAGAAATGACTGGGTCTAAAATGGCGTTACCGTTCATTAGCTCAGCTGTGGCTTGTCTGCAGCTGAAAAGATTAGTGTTGTGCTGTCGAATCTGCTATGGTTACAGAAATGAAAGAAGTCAGAGAAATGGTGTTGGAAAAGTACCTCAGTGAAATCGACTACATTCGGGGCAAATGGTGTGGATGGTGCTGCTGTTGCCTCAACTGCAGTTACAGTGAACGGAGGTTGCTGCCAATGTCAAGCGCAAAAAATGATGTGAAATGAAGATTTCAGTATCAGATCGACTATGGTCCCAAGAAATGGTGTGGATATTAGTGCTGTTGTTGCCAACTTATGTTGATGCAGCACCACTGTCGACATTATTTCTTGCGACTATAATAGATTGTTCCCATCTCGACTATAGTGGATTGTGCATTTGCAGCTGATGCAACAGCACCAACAACCACATTATTTCGTGCGATTATGGTAGAGACAGTAGCAACACCTTTCCTTCCTGCCCTTGCAGCCACAGCGACATGACAGCTGTTGTGTGAATGGTGACACTGTTGCATTCCCAACTTTATTCACTGCAGCTACAACTGCTGCAACAACGCATTATCCACATCTTTTTGGCGACTGTACTTAATTTGACAGCGGAATACTCCCAGTAGACTCTAGCCATCTTATGTGGCCGTATTCAAGAACGAACTCTGACGGTAAACCTTGAGGCAGTGGCGCTCCCAAGATTTCCGTTCGAAAGGGCTGTGGGGGGAGCAACAAAACAATTTTTGGGTAAAGGCGCGTGCTGTTAGCCACGCACTCCAAAAATTGTGCCTCCTAATATCTCTGCGGTCCGCACCTAGAAATTTTAGTAAAGGAAGCGTGGTTGACGCCATTCTAGAAAAAACTTTTACAAAGCTATTTTGTTTCCAAAAATATAAGAACCAATGCAATTATTTACAAGTATAAACTAATCACTTTTGAAACTTATGTGGACAATTTTCAAGAATTCCGCGACCCATTCTCAGGAGAGGGGGGAGGGATCACGCACCTTCCCCCCCCCCCCTCCCCTCCCCCTCCCCCTTCCTTGGTCCGCCACTACCTTGAGGGTACGCTTTATCCCCAGAAATCGACTAAGCCGTATTCACGAAGCACAGATTAACCTCGAGGGTTAAACATACTTGAGTGTAAACCTTACCTCGGAAAGCGATAGCTCGTTTTCATCAACGGATCCTAAGGGTATACCCTACCCTTGAGGGTAAACCTTACCCCAAAAAGTGGTCAGCACTCATGTATGAACGTGGTTCATCAAAGTAAAAATGCCAGCAGAGCAAGATCAAATTTACCCTGACTTCGTACAAACATACTCTCGATGCAGCACTCAGTCCTATTGGTACTGTTCTGAAACAAACATATATTAAAAACTAATATTATTCGAAGTCTTCCAAGATTACTCTGGTACCATTTCTGTAAAAGGTTAAAAAGCTTACACGCATTCATTAGCTTCACCGGATATGAAGTAAAGTGCCTTTGGGGCATGCCCGCAGAGGGTACTGAAGATGCCAAATTCTTAATCTTTCATTATTTCAATTTTCCAATATTTTAAAACTTCTATGGCCTCTTTTCGCCTTGTCTAGTCATCTTGACAAGATTAAAATTTTTTAGTTTTTTTTTCAGTCAGATTATAGCATATGCAGTTGAGCTACGATAAGTTTGATCATGCATCCAATCATTTACTGAAGTATATCTGTGAAAAAAAAATTTGACTGAGGCATCTCCATATTCAAAAATCTTTTTTGAGCTACTATCCACTATCCACTATCACAGGTGAGCTCTGTTGAAAACGAAGGCTATATGATTCGCCATATCAGACCCCTCAGATAGATATGTACTTTATTTCAAATTAAATTAATTACTTGTGGCAACTCGGCTGATTATTATACCGGAGGATGACACCAAACGAAAAGACGAAAAGAGACCTTAGAAAATCTGAGATGACAGTTACTATAAATATGTTGTTAAAACAATATCGCTAGGACTGAGTGGTGCATGGAGTGATCATTTTAGTCAGGGTAATGTTAACCTTGCTCTATGCTGAAGCTATATAGACTTACCATCACGAGCCACGTTCATAAGTTAATCGCTTTCTGGGGTAAGGTTTACCCTTGGTAGGGTTTACACTTAGGGCTCGTTGATGAATACGCGTCAATCGCTTTCCGGGATAAACCCACTCACGTGGGTTCGTAAAAAACACAGCCACAACCCTGAGGGTAAACACTATCCTTGAGTGTAGTGTTTAGCCTCAGGCTTTGCTGATGAATACGATCACTGCACTAATCTTCCGAGATGCTGTTAACTATGCTTACTGCAAGCCCATAAAACATAAGAATTCATTTAAATAGCAAGCATCATATCTGACAGAGGTACTCATCGGTGACATCTAGATCAGAGAGCATATAATCAAGGCACTATTAAGAGGAGGTCATTGTCTGTCGATGAGCATTGACGATAAAACTTGTTAACGTAACAAATTGGAGAGTTAAATGATTAGAGAATGCTGAGTATTAGTGCATGAGATGAGAGAAGCCAGTGATTGATCACTGCGATTTTTCTTTTGAAAGAAGGGATGATGTCCACGCGGTAAGTTCCGCAAGACGTTGGCGAGCTTCAGATAAAACCTAAAGCAGACGTTGTGAGCAGCGCTCGACATTCTATACACGTTGGGGGACAAACCTCATCTCTGACTTGATAGATATCGTTCGACTCGCCCAGATTTTTGTCCAGATTGTGCAGATAATTTATAGCTGACTCCACTCGCCCAACATCACCAAAAACCTATAAAAGTAAAGTTATCCGATTTTCTTAAATATAAATTACAATTACTACTTACTCTCTGTCCATTACCCTTCAGTCTCTCTAAATTATTTCTCAACTGAACTGACGTTCCGCGAATGCTTTTCATGAGGAGTTCTTCCGGCTTAGTCTTCAACTGTCTAGCCTCGTTTTCAAGGCGAGTTTTTAGTTCAGCAACAGACGAAGATAACTCATCAACTTTCCCTTGAGCCCACTCTCGCTTTTCACGCACTAAATCAACCTGAAATGTATCACTATTGCGACAAGTGATTGTTTTAATTAACAACTGCTCACCAGTATGAAACTTTTGTTGAGTTGTTCTATAAGCCCATGGAGCTGAGCACTGACAGGATTGAGTACAATCCGCGCCTAAGTGGTTCATTGTAATCTGCCCTTTGTGACATTATGGTCAATGATGGATACCTTACTGCTGAGAGCCTCCACTGTCTTACTAGCTATTCTTTTGACTCTGTCTCTCACAGAGCTTTCCGGTACGTCTTCTATTTTGATCTTCAGAGCATGTTCAATAAACACACTGATCACATCCAGAAAGCCATTCGTCACATCGGCGAGTTTATCGACAGGAACCCAAAAAAAAATCTTGTGAAAACACATAAATTTGTGGAATCACTATCTTTACTGAATGAATATAAAGTTTGAACATCTAGGTATAGGAAAATGAATTTAGAGTTTGGATATCTAGGTACAGGAAGGTAAATGGTGTAAATCTAAAGAAGCTCTACCTGAGCGACTCGTTGTCCTTCAGCAATGGCAGCCCAAATCTTTTCTTCCATCGCTTTCTCCGCTTCACAAACGGAAGCCAGTACACGCTGGCCTACATGATGAACTCCTCCGATGGTGTTGATAACCAGATTAGCACCTCCAGCAGATAAAGCCAGACCAATCTAGAGTACAAAGATCTTTCTTACACATAAGTGATTCTACAAGTCACAATGTGGCATAAAAATGCAAACCACTATACCTGTGTCGCAACAACTGCAGCGCCAAGGCCAACGGTACCTCCTTGAATCGCCAGATTTTTCGAAGTTTCCACAGCGTTCATTGTCTTCTCTTTACCTAAATATAAAGGTGCAACTTATATAATAACAACTTTTACAATCCCAATCTTGTGTCATACCTGTATTGTAAGCAGATGCCACTGCTTCTTTCGGACGCATTATGTAATTCTGATGGACATCTGCAGCTTTTTCTGCTGCGGTTTGTGCAACAGTAGATACGCCATACTCTACACGATCGAGTGTTGACTCAAGAAGTCTGTTGCTGTGCTTTGTCCAGTCATATGTTGCGATAGCCTGTAACTTCAACGATAAAATATGATAAGGTGTTAACGCTAGAAAAACTGCTTTGTTCACATTCTTAGCGTAGAGCGAGGCAGACAACATTTCAAAACTAGTGATGACTCCTTATTATACGTAAAGCTTGGAAGATACGCAGGACGCCGCAAGAGCTACGACCGCGCTGCAACGTTGGTCGCAATTTCTGCACTACTGAACGGCTATATCACGAATCCTTGTAGAGATGTTCGCTGCAAAGTATCGTGCATCTCCAGAAGTTCCCATATAAACCACCAACGTGGCTGCCTTTCAATCGTTCTAAGACGTTGAAGGCAGCGTCCAGACTTGCCTAGACGCTGCCTTCAACTCCAGCAGACTTGAGGCGATTATTCGAAGTTGACATGTTAAAATGATCAAAAGATAGTCACGATGGCCACATGGGAACAATTTTAGGGGATGCACCCATATGTCTTTGTGAAAATAGCGCGTGCAGAATGCCTGCATCTCACGCGCAGCTTTTTGTTTACGCGCAAATTTTGCTGAGGCACTGTATTTACCGAAAAAGGTATCCGACGTATACATGCAAAGATGCAAGATAATAACTTCTGACAAACCAAAGCCCTCGCCATCAAACCAACCTGTTGAATCCATGGATTCTTCAACAGATACGAGTAATAGTCAGAATAGTTGTATTCAGGCTTAGTCCCATTCTGTTGGGAAATGGTGTTCTCATCGATGGACATGTTTGAATGTTCTGAAAAGAGTTCAGGCCTGGTCCCATCGTGCTGAGAAGTTCTCTCATCAAAAGAGGCGGCAGAGTTTTGTTTGAAGAATTCAGGCATCCCACCATGCTGGGAACTTATCCCATCGTTGGACGTGGCAGAGTGCTGGGAGATAAACTCTGGCAATCTCTCGTCATGTTGGAAAACTCTCTCCTCGAAGGAAGAGGTTGAGTTTTGCGCAACATATTCCGGCAATGTCCCATCATGCTGGGAACCGTTGTTAGAAATATCTGAGCTTTGTGAGAGAAACTCTGGCTTCCGCTCAGTATACTGAGGAGAGTTCAGAGGAGTATGTTTTTCGGATAGCTGATGGACTACCCCCTCATGATGAGGAATATTTTCATCATATAGTGCTGGATTTTCTGAGAAGATTTCATGGTTTGAACCATTATGTTGGAGATGACTCTCCTCAACAGACATAGCTGGTCTGAAAAATTGCGACTTTATAGAACACTGGCTACTACGAGAAAGCATAAAAACGAAGTGGAGTACGTGCTGAGAGAAGACATCAATAAATGACCATGTTTACTACCGCGAATGTTCGTTGACAGAGATCGATATCGAAGGAGGAGATGGCAGCAAACAAAACGAAAGGATTGGAAAAGGAAGGAAGTCAAGCTTACAAACGAGCAGGGTATGATTATGAATTCATTGCCAGACATTTGAAACTTTATTGATAGATATGAATAGCTAAGATATGTAGAGAAAGGTCCACGAAAAGAGTCGTACTATCAGTGATGATACTACGACAACAAGAGGCGGGCTTTTAAACAAGATAAGAAGCTTCAGGACAAAGTACAAGTCGTTTCGAAACGCTGGCAGTTTTCTACATCGCGTGAGCGTTGAAAAAAGGCCTTCATGGCAATTGAGAACTCGTTTGAAGCTGAGAACGTGAAACTATGCAAGATGTAAAGATGTGCTTTGAAAGTCTTGCAATCTAGTATCAATGTCCCATCATAAATCTAAAAATATATTTACGATCTCTGCGCAAAGATTTGCCGTCTAGGATAGCGGGAGAGAGAGCGTACGCAAACCGCGCCGCTGTTGACTAGTGATATGTTATTTAGTGAAAGCAAATGAGCAGCTTTTGTCGAACGTAACCTAAAGAATGCAGGAGCGGTATCTGGACCAGTGTCTTATCGCTCTCGATACTGCCGCGATCGTAGCCAACAAAGCTAGTGAACGAAGATTGTCAACAAATATTATGCGCCACGGGAGACCAATCAAAAACAACCGCTACTACGGGACGCAGACCTCGTAATGAGCGGGAGGAGCGCAAACGTATTGATAATTCTTGATCTGATCTATGCTACTATACCCCCTGGACGTTAATGTAAAAGTTGTGATAAATGAGATTAGATAATAGCCAAGTGGCCGAACGTAAAACACCGTGCGAGTAAGATTATCTTGCAAAAAGTCAAAGGAAGTTCATCTCCTCAACTACGATAATGTGCCCCTTGCCACTACACTCGAGCTGATCAAAGTCCAATGACCCTGGAGTTTCGAGAAGAGTACACATGACGTGAGACTTTCGGCCTTGAGTGTAACCCGGAGCATAAGATGTGATAGGTGGAGAAATCTCTCTGACCCCCTTCATTTTAGGGCCGGCATCTGGTTGACCCCTTTCACCGGAGGTTGAGATTAGAATCAAGGCAACGGCAGAATCAAACAGCTGTTACAGCGGCACTTTTTGTTCGGAAAGGAACTGCTCTTCTCCTCAGTAACAAGACTGTAGAAGAGCATCGAAGCAACAGCATTTTGTTGAAAAAACGCATGCTTGAGACCTTTAGCGCACTCAAAATGGCGTTGATAACGAAGCATAATCAAAAATCAAAAGGATGCCTGATTCTTTCAATAAACATTGTTAAGTGATTACACACTGTCGCAAAAAAGAGTTTAGCAAGAGTAGAAAATCTGGACTAGCCGGTTATGGATGCATGTTTACTGACAGGAATCGACTATATCTCCTTTCACCAGAGAGAATAATTACAAATAAAAGGGCAGTTAGATTACTCGTTTCTCATGCTTTCGAATCATGTATAAACTTCGAAAAAAACCATTCTTGGTTTACAAAAACAATTACCCAGAATTGGCTGATATCGTAGCTGGATAAAATTGCTCGTATCTCGCTTCGCAGAGAAGCTAGGAAAAAAGAGACGGTCTACGTCGATTCCTCGATTCCCTTACCGCACCTACGGAGGCAGCCTGCTCCTCGTATTATGAATATGTAGAAAGTATGGAATACTGAGGTGAAGTTCCAAACCGAACGCTTACTTTTGTACCATATCTAGTGATTCGACTTCATTTATAGAAAACCTTTTCTATACGGGAAAAGAGGGTTTTGTCAATCTGGAGTAACCTTGGGGATCTAGGTATATGTACTTGATATCGCACAACAAATTACATCCATTAGGTAAAACTTTTATCAGTACAAAATAATGCGCAACCTTGTGACATGACTTTTGCTCGGAGGCTAAGGTAAAAACGGACAAAATACGGGCCCCCTCACAATTTTGTTGTTGTTTTCCTCTTCGATCGTCTTATCAACCTGTGAGCTATTGAAGACTTATCTTTGTTGTTTGGGCTTTTTGCTATAGTCGAAGGACTGTTAGTAGGAGTAGCAGTTCACAGTAATATAATTCACTTGATAAAAGATGAGGAAGCAACGTGCAACCAAAATTCTCATTCCATACTACAGTAGCCCCCACCATAGCCATCTCAGAAATGAGTGACATTCGCGATCAGCGGATCCAGTGTCCCCCCCCCCCCCATTGCGACAAGTTATTGTGGATACTGAAATTGTGACTCCAATGCGTATTACATCTGTAACCCCATGAAAAAAGGCTTTTCTTTGCAAAATGAGCGTGGGACTTTGCACAGAAGGACCCGACCCGTTGCTTTGGTCCAATGCGGACACTAGAAGAAGTATTCATGGAAACTGTTGCCTGTCCTTATAGGATTTAGTCAGGTAAGCACCCACATGACGGGCTCCTTGATCTTTTCATAAAACAACTTCGGTTGGCTTCCCTGCAGGAATGAACTTTGACGTAAACTCAAGTGTGTCGTGATCGCAGCCTAGCATTTTACTTTACACAAAAAAGTGAAAATCTCGACTTTTTTTGTTTTTGCATATTTCGCTCAATGGATTTTGTTCTAATTTCTGGTTTCCAGTACTACTCATTATTTGCGGACCTCATGGGGCCTATTCCATGCTACTGAATCGATTTCCACTGCAGAGTGTGGTTTTACGTTCACGTTCACTAGCAGTTTATTCGAGAAAGGTGAAAATTACGGTTTTTCCTGTTATTTTCTGTGATAGGTTGACTTTCGTTTTTTGAAAGCAGTTTACATTATCCTTTTTGCCCTTCATTCAAATGATATTCGCCATAATGAAAACAAAAAACGGCAAGGCGACGGGCCCAGACGATGTCCCCAACGAATTTTGGAAGAAATGCGGACAAGCTGGAGTGACTTGGCTCACGCAACTTCTGAATCAGATTGTAGATGCAAAAAACATGCCAAGCGACTGGTACAAAAGCACAACGGTACCCATATGGAAGAACAAAGGCGACGTAGCTGACTGTTTGACGTATCGGCCTATCCGACTCATGTGCCACACACTAAAGATCTTTGAAAGAATTTTGGAAACGCGACTGCGAAGCATCGTGGACCTGGCCCCTAACCAGTGCGGATTCGTGAAAGGATACAGCACGACAGATGCTATCCACACTGTAAGGATAATGATGGAAAGAAGTAGGGAAAGGCGATGCGAATTGCATGCAGCGTTCCTCGACTTGGAAAAAGCGTTTGATAAGGTGCCACATGACGTTATATGGTGGTCGTTACGAAAGCACATGGTGCCAGAAGAATACGTGCAGTGGATTAGAATGATATACAAAAACGCCACTAGCTACGTGCAAACAGCAGCAGGTCCTTCAGAAGACTTTCAAATAAACGCTGGAGTTCACCAAGGTTCCGTGCTGTCACCCTTTCTCTTCATCACGGTCGTAGACACGATAGTGAGAAGCTTCATACGTAACCCTCCTTGGGCTCTCATATACGCAGACGACGTGTTGCTGATGGCAAGAAGCAGAAATGAATTGGAAGAGGAAGTGCAAAAGTGGAAGAGTGAACTAGAACTGCACGGTCTGAAGATTAATATCACAAAGACAGAGTACATGGAGCTGGGAGTTCAAACGCCAGGGACTATTCAGATCGGAAGTATCCCAGTTAAAAAGACCACCACATACAAGTATCTGGGAAGTCATATATCCGCAGATGGCACGCTCCAGGACGAGATCACCTTCAGGATTAATTCAGCTTGGTCGAAATGGAAGAACATTACCGGAATCCTATGCGATAAAAGGATGCCAATCAAGCTGAAATCCCAGTTATACCGTGCTGTAGTCCGCCCGGTTGTTCTATACGGCAGCGAATGTTGGGCCTGTACGCGGAATGAAGAGCGAAGGGTTAGCGTGATGGAAACTCGCATGCTGAGATGGACGACAGGTGTGACTATGATGGATCATGTCACCAATGATACCATAAGGTCCACAATGAAAGTCGCGCCAATCGTGAAGAAAATACAGGAGAAGCGACTTCGTTGGTACGGACATGTAAGAAGAAAGGAAGATGATCACGTCGCTAGATTAGCAATGTCTGTGGAAGTCCCCGGAAAAGACTCAGAGGAAGACCGAAGCTAAGATGGATTGATAAAGTTAATGCAGACTTGAACGAACTTGACTTAAATGAACATCAAGCCGAAGACTACGAAGAATGGAGAAGACTCACAAGAGTAAAAGAGTAGTGATCAAATTAATTCGCTGATTCTTGTTGTGTGTTTATAACATGATTACTTCATTGTTTTTTCATAAAGAACAGCTTAAACGTATTGAATTAAAAAAAAAAAGAAAATGAAATAAAGAGCAGCGGACCCCGTACTAGGGAAGAACGCTAGGATAAAAAAAAAAAAAAAAAAAAAAAAAAAAAAATGATATTTGCAGATGGCTCAGCAGAATGCTGCGATATCAACGGATAAGTCCGGCAATATCATCTTGAAAATCTTAGCAAAACCTGGTGCGAAAGTCAGCGCTGTGACAGGTCAGCTAATTATAGTAACAGCTTTCGGAAGCTTGCTGCACCAAGTAACAAGCTGTCACTTGACCTAATTGCTCCAAGATTGGATAAACGTCACTTGCTTTTGTGCATGAGCGCAGTCCATAAAATTCGAACAATTATGTACAGAGTGGCCTACTTAAGCTTCTTCCACACTTTTATAGTTTTTTTTTGAAATTTTTTCTTTTCACATTGTGTATGCTGATAGATTTTCTTTCATCTATGGATATTTACAGATGTTGGAGAATCAGAGATTGGCGTAGCAATAGCTGCTCCTGCACGTGAAGGAGAAGCAAACGAAGAGCTCATCGATTATATGCGAGGTGTTCTTGGCCTGAAGAAGAGCGAATTGTCGCTTGATAAGGTAGGTCACATTATCTGGAAAAGTGGTCGACCTACACTCGTTGTTTGATTCAGGGTGGTAAATCACGCTCGAAAACGCTTTTGATAACGTCATCGCGCATCACTTCAGAGCAAGTTGTCGCGAAGTTGAAGGCGGCTGCTGGTGATTGAATGTTATCAAGCAGTGCAAAGGTTGCTTTATGATGTTCTGAGCAAGTCGGGTAGAAATTGTCATTTTGGTCATCTTACGATGTTGTTTATTACATTGAGTGCTAGAATCGTGATCTATGCAGATCAATATGAAAACCGATAAATGCATTGGGTATTTTCAGACTAAGGGCCGCATGCACTAACATTTCCGCTGGGGAGGGGATCGCAGCTTCAGAAGAAAGCTTCATATCCTAAAGCTTCGGATATCTGGATTTCACGCTGTCTACCTATCCGTAAGTACTCCCACCATCCTTCACTATGAATTTATTGAGCAGAAGCGAGAAGCTGTACAAGCCGCATTTCCCAGCTTTTTGTAGGATCCCATGATGATCCCTGGGGGATGAACATCCATTCTTCAAGTCATTTTTCTTTCTCCACAGTTAACGAAAACCTTCCAAATTTATACTGAACATCTAACACAATAGTGCTAAGCATGCTGCTGATGAGAACAAATGAATTTTTGAAAAATCGAATTTTTCGGTATACCCCGAATTTCGACCTGTGGATCATCGAAAATTTCATGACTTCAAAACATCATTTGTTCTTATCAGCAACATGCTTAGCACTGTTGAATTAGATAATCTGCACAACTTTGGAAGTTTTTCGTTAATTTTGGAGAAAGAAAAATGACTTAAAAGAAAAGCGCCGGGGATCATCAGGGATCATACAAAAGCTGGAAACTGCGGTTCGTACAGCTTCTCGCTCCTGTTCAACATGTTCATAGTGAAGGATAGTAGGAATACTTACGGATAGGTACACAACGTGAAATCCAGGTATCTCGAGTTTCGAAATATGAAGCTTTCTTTCAAGCTGCGATCCCCTCCCCGCGGTCATGTTAGTGCATGCGGCCCTAATACTCATTAGCAGCATGCTCACTCAATGCCCTACCCTCCTCCCCCCCCCCCCCCGCTCTCCCCTCCGCCTGCAGACATGCCAGCACCTCAGCTCAAAGTCCAAAAAATCGATGAAATTGATGAAGGCCATCGATAGTTCTGAAGGTGAGGGCAATCATGATCAGTATGCTTGCTTTCCCTGCACCAACTTCAGGCCCCCTTTTGCAAGAAATTGGTGGAATTGACACCGATCATTGGCGAAAAATATCTAACCGCCTTCTTCTTCCAAGAGGTGTTATTTGTGCAGATTTTGGCTTCGGTTTAGAATGCGTCTTTCTATTTGGAACATGTACATTTATCCTCAAAGGGGAGAAGGGAACGAACATCGCCAGTTTGGGCCGCCCGCGCGGACTACTGATCCTGCAACGATGTCGAGAGCATTACAAAAGAACCAGTCGTCAGCGAAGATGGTCGAGATTGGTCCTTTCCGTATCCTCCTCAAAGCCCCACACACTTTGGTTTTACTTATCTCGAGCAGGAAGCAATGAAACCATTACGGCTTCTCGTATATATTTTCTGTAAGGGTAGTCGAAATGTGATATAAGTATGTTTGCTGGTCAAATCCTCATTAGTTTTTGCTCCGCCTGTTGTCGTTAGCACTCTTGCACCAATTCATTCATATCAGTCGCCTGAATAAATCTGTTCAGCTACGCTACCCAACACATACATTTTACTTTAGCAAGTGCCAGACATGGTCAATCTAGAACGACAAGTATAGCGTTTTCCGGATGGTGGAGGTTAGTAGATGCCACAAGGCCTCAAACCAGTCACACAATTCAAATCTATTTTTTGGAACCGCTTTAGGTAATTAAAGCTAACCTGTGATAGCAGAAAAGCGCAGAAAAAAAACTGAGAGCAAACTCATTGACCTCCACGATCACGACACCCACCAGAATACATTGATTTCTTTTCCACCAGAATACAATGATTTCTTTTCTTGAAAAAATTTAGAGTGTCACAAAATTTGCTCATCATTGCGGGATGTGGTGAAGTTTGTATTCTACGAGGAATGGCTACACCTTGTTTCATTCAAGAAATAAAGATTTGCGCAACGACAGAACAGCTTGCGAGTGTTTATAAATAGTTCGACGTATCGTTATTGACGGGACTGTCAGCTTTTCCAGTTCTTTGATCAGCGAACTTTGCAGCTGCAGACATGCCGCGCGCACTTACGACTTTACACAAAGGAATTTCGCTTGCCAGACAGAAGTGTGAGTTTTGGTCGATCATCATATTTGAAAATCTATACCAAACTTTTCTCCTGGAGAAATTACATTTTTGTAGTTATACGCATTACAATGATTTTATTGCAACAAGTTTCAAAGGAACACTATTCTGATCTCTGGTCGCTTCATGTAATTATAATCAAGTCAATTATCAATTATTTTTTTCGTTTGTCTTGTTGGACAACTTGTGCTTTATGTTTCGAGCAGCTACTGTGACTTTATTTGCAGTTATGGTCAAATTTGAACGGCTATGTTATTCAAGACATTTATTGTAGTGATCACAGCTTTACTATCTCTACCCAGGGTAATCTCACGTATTTTAAAGGGTTTTCTCCTAGACTTTTCTTTCTTCTATTATAGGTAGAAGATATTCTGTCCGGTCGATGTAATGCATACAGAGAATTTGAAGCAGCGGCATCATGTGGAGAGAAAGGCTATTTGATGCAATTTGGGCTGAGAAATTGCATGATTTTCAATACACCAGGTAATGCTAAAGTCATCTCATATAGAAACCCTAATTTCCACATTGATTTCTTTCTGATCAACATTATGAATACAGGAAATGTATGTTCTGCTACTAGAGGCTTTTGTTGCAGTGTATTTGCTTAATTTATCATTTCCGACGGTGAAATTCTTCTGAAAATTCTAGTAGACCCAGCCGAAATAAACGTACCCATTATGACTTCTTGATATTTGATTTATAATCATTTTGCAGGAGTTAGATCACGCTACACTGCTGAGGGACGTGAATTTCTGGAGTGTGTATCGAAATGTCTAATCGAACACTTACAAAATGTGTTTTCGGTTGGTTTTAAAAAGTGTCAAAAGTGTGCGCCTGTTGGTTACCATTGGAGCTCAACCATTTCCAGAAAGGGATCTCCAACTGCCCAGAACTCGACAAGTCCGCCTTCGACAGCCACGTGCCATGTTTTTCAGAATGTGGCTTTTGTAAAATTTGCAAGAGTGAAAAATTTGCTCTGCTGAGTAGCTTTGATAAGTACGATTTACTTTCTTATGAAGTCATAAAAGCAGGTCTACGACTAATGTGGACCTGTGGTCCGCTTTCTTGTTTCACTTCCTAGCTAGCATTTTTTCTGTATACTTTTTTAAAACAGATCTCCATCATAGTGTCTTTTGACCTTACCCGTTGGATCTCCTGTATATTCCACTTGTTGGTGATGCTCTGGAACGACTGAATGTGCTCAATAAATATAAATCCGGAAAATGTTACCGTGTAAATGCTCGAGGTAGCAAATTAAATAAGTTGTTGTGTACAGCTTTGTGGAGATGATGGACATGGATAGAAAAATATCATAGGAAATGAAATAAATTTAAGTAGAGATTGTGCACTTACGCATACCAAGAATGAACATTGTTACCCTTGCATCTATAGAAAAAATTGTTTTTTTTTTGCTTTTAAAACACGTGTTCAGGTGCATCTGAAGGGAGATATCTCTTTATTGTCATGGAAAATGTTGACCTAGGATCTTCCAGATTTGGACAGTTCATTCAGAGGTGCCGCGCAAACAATTTATAAAATTTGTGAAAGAAGTTCGGAAGTGTTAGCAACTGTCAACTTTCGCCAAAGCGCTTCAAACTTTCAAACGACGGTTCGATATTCAGGCCTAGTGCAAAACTTTCAAACAATAAGAAGGAAGAAAATCGTGAAGGCTATAATACTAAAGATTTGTTGCTAATTTGTCAAAGTCCTGTAGTCATCTATCAAGCCTGAGATTATGCTGTTCAGTAGTCCTTCTCCTGCCCCTTTTTTCCCGCCTTCATAACTACAAAAATGGGATTTTTGCAACTTCTAGACTTTCGCGAGAAAAAGTTGTGTCAGAACTACTGTTGACCTAATATATCACTTGACATTCAATTTGTATTGCAGTGGACAGAGAACGAACAAAGAATAGAAACGCAAGTGGAGGTCCAGAAAAGAGCAAACACTTGATAAGATAGAGGTCATCTTGAGTACACAACAATCAGAAGCGTAAATTGCCCTGCGAATGATAGCATCTAGGTTGAGAGATCACTCCCGAAAACGCCAAACCTCATCTCTGTTTTCGCTAGAGCAGGCTGTTGTAGATTTGCGAGCGGCTGCTAGAGCTGATCCATGAACTGCTTTTTTTATGCTGATTTATACTTTCATCACTGCAGAAATATTTGAGTTATGGCCATTAACTTCATTGCCCTTGCTAGTCGTGTAGTAGAACTTGTAAAATTGCAATGGTAATTTCTTGGTTAGCTCTCGCCATCTAAGCTAGACTGCTACTTTTTGAGAGGAAAATTAGGAAACTTCTGGTGTAAATATCTTTGTACCTATTTCATAATATCGATGGTGCCTAAAATCTTATCAATGCCCAAATACTTAGATATTGCACCAAATATATTATGAAAGTTTTAGAATTATGAAAATTTATTGAAAAAAGAGCTGTTTGTGTTCACTAGCGCCCAGGACTTTTATATACAGTTCAGCCAAGTGGCACTTAATTGAGTTTTATTCGCAGCCAATATAGACGTTCATTTTTTGTAAACTATTTTTGCAAATTCATATTGCGCATTTATGCTTTCCAGATAATTCCCCTCATAAAATATTAGTCTCGCCTCGAAACCTCTGGCAGAGCGAAGTTTGCATATGCAGAACTAACACGACTTTGCGTGAGTGTAGATAAATAATTTACTTTCATGGAAGCAAATGTAGTTCGACTTTACTGGCCTTGATATTTCGAGTTTTTGGCCCCATGCAAAAGTTGACATTATTTTTAACTAGAAGAATCAGCAAAAACGAAATTCGTTAATGTTGTGCAAGAATTTTCGAGAATGAAACCACGCAAATTCATTAATACATTGCAGAAATGATCTAAACACTCACAAATGTTTCTGAGCGCATTTTATTTAGTGCTCGTTGCCGTATTAAACATAAGTGAGGTAAGAATATTTCAACTACGACGGTAAACGACATCATATAGGAGATTATTTAGGCACAAAATAATCTAACCGATCGATGTGATGCTTATAAATTCCTTGAAGATAAAGCATCATGTGGAAAGAAAGGCTATCTCATACAGTTTGGATTGCGCAACTGTCTGAAATTTAGTTCACCAGGTTTGACAAAATAAAAAATTTGTTCAAAAATAAGTTTCAGCGAATTATCAAGTGTTTAAAAATAGTTTGAAAATGTTGTTCTTTTTTTATAAAAATAGTATCGTTAGAAAAATTCAAAGGGAAGTCTGCTAATGTCAGGATTCAATACTTCATCCCTATTCTTTTAAAGTCACCGATTCATTGATTTCAGACATTAGATCACGCTTCTCCTCCTCTGGACTCGCATTTCTAGACTGCACAACGAAGTGTCTTATCACACGTTTACAAAATCTGTTCACGGTAAGTATCTTTATGATATTGCTTATATCGAGTTTAGAAATTTGTACTCAGTTTCACAAAGCGCTGTTAAGCTTCTTCAGAGAAGTCTTTTGAATTTCAAAACATATTTTTCTTTTAATGATGCTTTTGCAGGGTGATCTCCCTACATGCTCAACGGTTGAGAAATCTGCCTTTGCCAGCCATTTGCCGTGCTACCTCGAATGCAACTTCTGTAAAATTTGCAAAACTGAGAAAGCTTCCCTTCTAAGCAGTTACGACAAGTCTGATCTCTTCTCCTACGAAGCTATGAAGACCGCAATCAAGCTGCTAAAGACATGTGGTCTGTTCTCTTGTTTCAGGTCATCGTAGTTGTCCTTACACGTCTTCTTTCTGATGAAGACTTTCAGAAAAATCGAAATTTTTTTAGAACATGAAAATGTTACTGGCTAAGTTATTTGCTCAAGTAGTTTGTTCACTGTTAAGTGCTTTTGATTTCTGAGTTGTTATGATATGCATTTTTTTGTAAGAATATTGTGCTAAATAAATGCTTTTGAGTATCTGAGTAGCCGTATTGCGCATTCAACTTGGTTTCTTATAATGCTCATAGCGAGACAAATCCTCAATTTTACTTTCACTGGAGAACTTTCTCATTCCGGCAATCGCATAGAAAACTTTCGCTTTTGCATTCAATAAACTCAAACTTTTTAAACTCAATTGCGATGTGGCTAAATAATGCTTTGAACACTCAGAAATGGTTAACCATTATGTAGTACGCTATAATCATAAAATCAAAGATTGTAATATTAATAGATGCATAAATTCTGTCCTTTTGCATTTCTCAAAATTAAAATATCACAGCTCAAAGTCAGCATTTTTCGACGAACTTACTCGGTGAATTGAGTAAGCTTTGACTGTCAGATAGACGGTAAGCCCTAAAAAGGACTCTACTGATGAAGAAAAAAGCATTAAAAAATTTGCAATGTTTTCTTCATACCTGTCACATGATAATACTTGCTTATGAGATCTACAAACATATTTAGTAATCATCTATAGACAGCGAATTTTGAAGATTTTATGAACAATGAGAGTTTCTTAATTTTTTTTATTACCAAAAAAATGTAGGCGTCAAAGACCCTATGTCTTTGACGCCTACATTTTTTTGGTAATAAAAAAAATTGGTCTTTTTTTAGTACACCTGCATATCTACTTCGAGTTAAGAAATTTTTCTAAGCCGCTGTTAGTCAAGGGTAATCGGTGGATGGGTTCTGCTAGATCCTATTTTCTCCATCGCTTATAATGTTCAACTCATTGTTCTCTTTTATTTCATTTCACAAAATGTTGTTAGCTATAGAACATCTATACGAAGCACTAGTTTTCGACAACAACTACAAGCAAAGCTATTTTACATTGAATCAAATTAGCGCATATGTTAGCTTCTTACACCGGTGCAATGAAAAGGCCTAACGAGGTGGAGCAATGTGGAAATTTTCTTACGGAAAATGTTTTATAGGAAAATACGTAATTCAACCACCTGCGCTTTTATGCTCGGTAGTAGGGGTTTATTGAAATATAGTACGTATTATGAAGAACAAGAAAAACTTCCTAATGGTTAACAATTATTGCATTAAACGCAAAAGCTTCCAAAACAGCTGAAATAAAAAGGGCAATAAAAAACGGATAGAACTTATGCAGCAAGCTAGTAATGAATTATGCTTTCGTACAATGAAGGACAGAGGGTAATTTGTATGACGCTGGTTGAAAGTTCGTATCATTTTTTTTGTTTATTGCATTGAGAAGGGCAATCTTGTTTTCTTTCAAAACTTCTAACATCTGACTTCGCAAATTTTTGCCCTTTCCTTTGTAACCAACTTGTAACTTGCTTCAAATCATAACTTTAAGAAAAAGTGAGGGGAAATATGCTTTAGGTAAATGCTCCCTATATTTAGGTCGTTTTGTAAAGCAAAAGAAGTCGATTTTGCTTCGGAGTAAATGTTATCCGCTAGGTAAACTGCGAAAATACGTGTTTACCAGTTGAGATTGTTGATCATCGGATGGTGTCATCATATCTTTTGTAAGGGGGCTGGCCTTAGTCAGCTATCAGAATTTTTTTTGGCCGTAACTTTTTTCGCTAACTTGTAACGATGGATATCAAAACAAAAATGAAATTTTAAACTAGCCAGTTTTGTTATCAATTTTATGACCGTTACATTTTGAGCTCTCTAAATTTTTTTTTTGGATTTTCACAATTGTGACCTTGTTTCTAATAAGTACGGCCAAAGCTAGTTCTTTCATTGATGTATATCACTTGCGGAATCTCGCTGTCTGCATCCGTTGGCGTTTATTATAAAATTTGCTTTTTTGGCTTCCCCGTTCTACGTTTTTTCCGACTCATGTCCCCGCATTTTCGCTTTTGAATAAATAATAATTTGTTCGTTCTCGCTGCTCTCATCTGTTAAGCTATGAAATTCTGCGTGTGCGGAATATCTGAATCTTCTAATCTATGGAGCTGTAGGAGTGTGATTAGTGGTGATTCACACAAAGTTTTCATTTTTGCTTTAAATAGCGCGAACCCTAATTATCAGAAGTAAAAAAAAATACTTGACTACTTTTCAGTAATTTTCGAAAATTGTAGAAATTTCTGCTGAAATGATAATGTTATTGTCAAACGAGGTTTCAACGTATTCTTATTCGATAGTTTCCATTTAAGTCTGGCTCCCAAAAGCCTATTGCAGAAAATACAAGGTGTCTCAAAAAAAATGTATCGAACGTTTGATCGTTAATATCTCTCTTCCCTAGAAGTCTTTTGCCTTGCTTCAGGTACCGTTTTGTAGAGCTAGCTTCAACTTAGATTTGCATTATAAAACGAATCACCCATCTTTCTTCATTACTGTAGGATTACGGTAGAAACTTGAAACATATGGTGTCAATGTCGAAAAAGCTGCCGTTTCAAAAATTTTCAAAAAATTGTGAAAACTTGTATTGGAGTTTTCATGGACGCTGAGTTCAATACTCAACTATTCTCAAGATTGCGAAGCTTTCTAAACGGTGTAACCGCACTTTTTAGGAACATTGAAAGAATGGCCGCTACCCCTTACCTGGCATAACTCTTCAATAAAACATCATAATAAGTTGGGAACTTTACAGTCATAATCAGCAACTCTAATTAGCCTAGTGTAAAAGTTTTCAGGCTGTTTTGATTCCTTTATGAGGCAAAATATGGCCTTTTCTTGCTTAAAATCCTCTTTGAAGTTTCTATCGTAACTACAGTAATGAAGAGGAATGAGTGATTCGTTCTATAATGCGAATCTAAGTTGAAGCCAGCTCTACAAAACGGTACCCGAAGCAAGAGAAAAGACTTCTTTAGAAGAGAGATATCAACGACCAAACGTTCGATACATTTTTTGGAACACACTGTATTGCGTGTGTGCATCTGCGACGCAGCTATGCGAGGCTTGAGGTCGCGCAGCGGCTCTGTCTGGTTCGTACACAATCCATGTTAAACGCAGCGTCCAGGCAGATCTGGACCTATGGGGCTTTTACGTGGAAAGTACTTTTGGGGCCCTAACTAAGCTACTGCCCAAGCGGCAGCTCAGGTAGTGCTCCAATGGCTGAGATATTCCCCTCGAAACTGGCCCCGCGAACGTATTCGCATGGGTTCATGGCAGTTTCGCGCCAGGATCCACGCTTTGCGCCATGAATCCATGCGAAATACGATCGCGGGGTCCAGTTTCAAGGGGAATATCTAGCCGTTAGAGCACTACCTGAGCTGCCGGTTGGGCAGTGGCTTAGTTAGGGCCCCAAAAGTACTTTCAACGTAAAATCCCCATAGGTCCAGATCTGCCTGGACGCTGCCTTTAACTCATTATGACGCAAGATGCTTCCCTTGAATCTTTTTTGATGTTCGCTTGCTTCGCTTCAGCGGCAATGTCCAATTAATAGATGCATGTGCCCTTTAGCATTGGGGTTCTTTCTTGATTCTCAATACTTCTCTAGTTTTCATATTAACATTTTTCTGCTTCAAGACTTCACCATTCAGTTTGTTACAGAATTCTTTTTGCGCCAAATCCCATTTCATGATGCTATTGTTTTTGTTTTGCTGAAAGGCATCACAGACCAACCAAATAAAACTCAGTCAGCTTATGATTTGATTTTCGTGCGTTCTTACCCATTACCAAGTTTAGCAGTTGCTGTTTACTAGCATTTATCTTTGTGATGTTGAAGTAAACTGGTGACCTTTTCTCACCTACGCTTGCTATTCAGCTTACATGCCTTGGGTTCTGGGAAACCGAATGGTTTTTGAGCTTTCTGTTTGCTTCAGATAGTCATAGACCAAGAATTCGTCACTTATTCGTTGACTTTTTTTAGCTCCACCTCTTCTAGCTACAGGAGAGAATATTCTAACTCTTTTTTCTATATTTTTTCTACTTGCAGCTTTGCTTATCGAAAAAAGCCTCGATGAATTTTTTTATTAAAATGTGGGTACTTGAAATTCTGAAAAACTAGAAGAAAGGGATATAGAAAGGAATTTGGGGCAAATTGCTTTATCAATTGAAATATGATGTAACCATTTCAAGGAAGTGGAGGTGTTACAGTACGAACTTTATTCTGCTTTGCAGTAATTAGTCATAAATAGTATTAGGTAATTTGTTGTTCCCATATAAGTACTGTTTGTACTTTATGAAGACATCTTTTAGAAAAGCGTCTTCTTTATAACAGCCGCTCTTTCTCAATTTTAGTTGAAGTTTGGTGAAATTTCAAAGTTGGTATGTAATCTATGTGGTTGTTCAATTCTTCACCAAAATGTTTTATCCTTTCATATTTGGGATCTCCACTCATTTTTACGAGCGTTAATTAGTTCTGTTTTCTAGGCTTTTGATTCTATTTTGTAATGAAAATACTTCGTAAATGATGCTATACTGAAAATTATATGCACTTCTGTCTTTACCAATTTGATAACTCCTTATCGAAGAACATACTGTGTTATTTGAGAAAACTGGATTGAAAAACGTTAAGGGAAGACGAAAAACTCTAAACGAGGTTTCGTTATAAAATATTGGAAAATTTCTAAATTAGCGTTATCTACAACTTTACGTTGTTAGCAGATGTTCTTCGAACTGCAAGGCGTCATAATAAATTCTCTGACGTCTCAACAAGACCTTATAATGAAAGAGATGCTTTGATAAACCCGATAACATTTTAGTACGTTTGTATCAAGTCTACAAGTCGGAAAATATTGCTGTCTGGGTTGCTGAAGCATGGCGAGAAGTTCAATGTGGGGAAAATTCTGGCCACTAGGATTTCAGCAGCTAAGGTTGCTCCATTTCGCTAAAGCTCCTCGCTATTTGTCCTTAGACGGTTCAGCAATATTT